CACAACAACATCCAACAACAACAACATCCAACAACATCCAACAACAACATCCACCAACAACAATAACAACATCCACACAACATCATCCAACAACAACATCCACACAACAACAACATCCAACAACAACATCCACCAACAACAATAACAACATCCACACAACAACATCCAACAACAACAACAACAACAACATCCAACAACAACAACATCCAACAACAACAACATCCACACAACAACAACATCCACCATCCACACAACAACATCCACACAACAACATCCAACAACAACAACAGCCAACAACAATAACAACATCCACACAACAACATCCAACAACAACAACAACAACATCCACCACCAACAACAACAACATCCACACAACAACATCCAACAACAACAACATCCAACAACAACATCCACCAACAACAATAACAACATCCACACAACAACATCCAACAACAACATCCACACAACAACAACATCCAACAACATCCAACAACAACATCCACCAACAACAATCACAACATTCACACAACAACATCCAACAACAACAACAACAACATCCAACAACAACAACATCCAACAACAACAACATCCACCATCCACACAACAACATACAACAACATCCACACAACAACATCCAACAACAACAACAGCCAACATCCAACAATAACATCCAACAACAACATCCACCATCCACACAACAACATCCAACAACAACAACAGCCAACATCCAACAATAACATCCAACAACAACATCCACCATCAACACAACAACATCCAACAACAACAACATCCACCATCCACACAACAACATCCAACAACATGCAACAACAACAACATCCACCATCCACACAACAACAACCTCCAACAACAAAAACATCCACACAACAATAAATGCAGTACTCGTTAACAAAGTACTATAAGTATTTGCAGTACCTCGTTGAGACAGTCCAGGACGTAGATGCTGTACTCGTTCCAGCTGAGGATCCAGCCCTCTCTGAGGAAACAGCTGAGCAGACCGAGCTGTATGTCTGCCGGACGATAAGCTCCGATTGGATCAGAACGAGGGAACAACTCAAACTGAGGAATCTGAGTCAGACAGAGAACATGTAATTTATGTTCTTATTAACAGCCATTTTTCTTGGATGAGTAAGTACAAACAGATGCAGTAGCAGGAGTACCGGTAGCTCTAGTGAATGCTACCAGCTGCTGCTGTAGTACCGCTACTAAATGTTAGCAGGACGTTCCCAGAGCACCTGTGTGGTGAAGAGTGGCTTCAGCAGTCTGGTGTCTTCCACCTGTCCTCTGATGTCGGACCTCCACAGTCTGAGTCCAGGTCGAGCAGCAAACACCTGAAGATCGCTCTGTTTACAGAGACCCGGCAGGAAGCAGGCTCCGAACCTGCCGCTGCTGCGACCAACACCAGAAATACTGTTAGAGTACTACAAAAACTACTAATCCTAAGTAAAAACTATCATGAGCGTGTTACTACAAATTAAATCAATTAATTAAAAAAATTTATTGACGTATCATTCAAATAGGTATATAGAAATATTCAACTATATGTGCAATTATTTATAGGGACAATTACAGTAGAATATTAAGATACCATAATACTATTTCACAGTGAAAGCATTGTTGCAGTACATGTACTGTGAGGGCTGTGAAACAACTTGACCCCTGACACTTTCTTCCCGCGGGTCTTCTGCAGGTTTTGTTTGAAATCATAGAGCCCTAGTTTGTTTTTGTGTATGTTCTAGAGCAACGGTATCTAATAAGAATGTACATTTGTGGTTTTGGAGGCGTCCTCTAAACATTTTTTTATTCTTGTCTATTCTCCATGTTGGACCCAAATGTTTTTGTTTGTTCAGAGTTCCGGTTCTTTCTCTCTGTGTGTGGACGGTGTCTTGACATCTTCTTCTGTCTTTGTGTAGTTTGTCCTTTTCCAGGTTTCCTTGGTGATACAAGGTCATGTGACTCAGATCTGTTTGGTGACACCTGCTGCTAACACCGCCTCTTTTATGTGAGTGCGCTCCCGGCTGGTTGTTGTTCAGTCCTTAGTGCGTTTTATATTTCATGCATGTTGAATATCACGTGTATGTAGTGTGTTTACCTCTTGCGGGGCTTTGAACCCAGCTGCTGGACTTCCTGTTTCTGTGTGCAGTAAAGCAGAGATCTCTGATGTGTAGAGACCAGCAGCACCTGGTGGCTGTACTCCATCTGAACCACACCTGAAGACTCCTCCAACAGCAGCACAGGTTTACACACCCCCTGCACACACACACAGGGCCAGGAGGGTGTGTGTTATCTAGAGACTACACGCTCTGTATAAACACCGACATCATTTCCGTTGCAAAGACCAAAGTGCTGCCATCCGTTGAAACAGACGGTTCACAAAGATCTTATCGTGGCAGACAGCCCAAACATTCCATCTGCATTACAGTCAACTAGTGATGCGCAGATCTGCACGCACGTAGGAATCACAGTCCACCGCGGCGATCATAGGACGAGTGACGTTACGTGCCCCCGGGCACTTTCAGACTTCTACAGCCTGAAACACGTGAGTAAGTGAGTGATGTCATATTTACAAAAACAACATAAGCTCGACATTTCCCACGCAACTCCCGTCACTGTGCAGGTGTTTAACAGACCGCATCTGAAGAGCGGAAACTAACCGAGATGTTGATTCTGACAACAACTGCATCGCTGCAAGCTTCGGGGTAACATCAGTCTGCACCGTTTGACTGCTGACGATCTGTTTCCAAACTAATACTTATCAAATCTTACCTGATGAGTTCCCCGACCCGTTAATCTGGACCCGTCGCACACTGAGAAGGCCCTGCCTGCCAGCTGGATTTAAAAGGTTGAATAAACGAGTTTGCAGAGCAAAAAGCTCAGGACGGTGTGGCTGCCATGGGAAGAAAACCAGTAATCAATCCACACGTGTGTGTTTTGTGTTGTGCTTTGAACAGACATGTCATGTTTTCATGTGTGATGGTGGCGTCACCCGTTTTAATCTGCTCCACCAGCGATCTGTCAGCTGGTCCATCACAGTCAGACTTCTTTATAGAGTGCTGTTTGGTTTCATTTCGTTTAGCTGTCAGCTGTGCACTGCGAGCTTTCACTTATTTAATTTGCTACTGACATTATGCTACTTTGATTGTGACGGGAGGGCCCGCTGTGACCATCTTGCATCAGGGGCCCCGCGCCGATTCATTACGACCCTGCTCTTTTATCACCCGGCCCCCAGTCTACTATTTCTGCCATTTCATAGACAAAATGATTCATCCAGAAATATTCTCCAAATTCACCAGTTTTATGTTGGTTTAAAAGTGTAGTGTGGGCGTGGCCTCACCTGGTCCAGGTCCAGAGACGAGAACACAACTCGTCCTTTATCATCTCCAGAGAAAAGCTTCATCCCGTTGGCACTCCACGCCAAAGACGTTACGGAGCCTTTATGGAGGCCAACCACATCGAAACGCCTCAACTACAGAGAGAGAGACAGGTGTGTTAGACCTACAGAGAGAGAGACAGGTGTGTTAGACCTACAGAGAGAGAGACAGACAGGTGTGTTAGACCTACAGAGAGAGACAGACAGGTGTGTTAGACCTACAGAGAGAGACAGACAGGTGTGTTAGACCTACAGAGAGAGACAGACAGGTGTGTTAGACCTACAGAGAGAGACAGACAGGTGTGTTAGACCTACAGAGAGAGACAGACAGGTGTGTTAGACCTACAGAGAGAGAGAGACAGGTGTGTCAGACCTACAGAGAGAGACAGACAGGTGTGTTAGACCTACAGAGAGAGACAGACAGGTGTGTTAGACCTACAGAGAGAGACAGACAGGTGTGTCAGACCTACAGAGAGAGACAGACAGGTGTGTTAGACCTACAGAGAGAGAGAGACAGGTGTGTTAGACCTACAGAGAGAGACAGACAGGTGTGTTAGACCTACAGAGAGAGAGACAGGTGTGTTAGACCTACAGAGAGAGACAGACAGGTGTGTTAGACCTACAGAGAGAGAGAGACAGGTGTGTTAGACCTACAGAGAGAGAGAGACAGGTGTGTTAGACCTACAGAGAGAGACAGACAGGTGTGTTAGACCTACAGAGAGAGAGACAGGTGTGTTAGACCTACAGAGAGACAGACAGGTGTGTTAGACCTACAGAGAGAGACAGGTGTGTTAGACCTACAGAGAGAGAGACAGGTGTGTTAGACCTACAGAGAGACAGACAGGTGTGTTAGACCTACAGAGAGACAGACAGGTGTGTTAGACCTACAGAGAGAGAGACAGGTGTGTTAGACCTACAGAGAGACAGACAGGTGTGTTAGACCTACAGAGAGAGACAGGTGTGTTAGACCTACAGAGAGACAGACAGGTGTGTTAGACCTACAGAGAGAGAGACAGGTGTGTCAGACCTACAGAGAGAGACAGGTGTGTTAGACCTACAGAGAGAGAGACAGACAGGTGTGTCAGACCTACAGAGAGAGACAGACAGGTGTGTTAGACCTACAGAGAGAGAGACAGGTGTGTTAGACCTACAGAGAGAGACAGACAGGTGTGTTAGACCTACAGAGAGAGAGACAGGTGTGTTAGACCTACAGAGAGACAGACAGGTGTGTTAGACCTACAGAGAGAGACAGGTGTGTTAGACCTACAGAGAGAGACAGGTGTGTTAGACCTACAGAGAGACAGACAGGTGTGTTAGACCTACAGAGACAGACAGGTGTGTTAGACCTACAGAGAGAGAGAGACAGGTGTGTCAGACCTACAGAGAGAGAGACAGGTGTGTTAGACCTACAGAGAGAGAGAGAGACAGGTGTGTCAGACCTACAGAGAGAGAGACAGGTGTGTTAGACCTACAGAGAGACAGACAGGTGTGTTAGACCTACAGAGAGAGAGAGAGACAGGTGTGTCAGACCTACAGAGAGAGAGACAGGTGTGTTAGACCTACAGAGAGACAGACAGGTGTGTTAGACCTACAGAGAGAGAGAGAGACAGGTGTGTCAGACCTACAGAGAGAGAGAGAGACAGGTGTGTTAGACCTACAGAGAGACAGACAGGTGTGTTAGACCTACAGAGAGAGACAGACAGGTGTGTTAGACCTACAGAGAGAGACAGACAGGTGTGTTAGACCTACAGAGAGAGAGACAGACAGGTGTGTTAGACCTACAGAGAGAGAGACAGACAGGTGTGTTAGACCTACAGAGAGAGAGACAGACAGGTGTGTTAGACCTACAGAGAGAGAGACAGGTGTGTCAGACCTACAGAGAGAGACAGACAGGTGTGTTAGACCTACAGAGAGAGAGACAGGTGTGTCAGACCTACAGAGAGACAGACAGGTGTGTCAGACCTACAGAGAGACAGACAGGTGTGTCAGACCTACAGAGAGACAGACAGGTGTGTTAGACCTACAGAGAGAGAGAGAGACAGGTGTGTTAGACCTACAGAGAGAGACAGACAGGTGTGTCAGACCTACAGAGAGACAGACAGGTGTGTTAGACCTACAGAGAGAGACAGACAGGTGTGTCAGACCTACAGAGAGAGAGACAGACAGGTGTGTCAGACCTACAGAGAGAGAGAGACAGACAGGTGTGTCAGACCTACAGAGAGAGAGAGAGACAGACAGGTGTGTCAGACCTACAGAGAGAGACAGACAGGTGTGTCAGACCTACAGAGAGAGAGACAGACAGGTGTGTCAGACCTACAGAGAGAGAGAGAGACAGACAGGTGTGTCAGACCTACAGAGAGAGACAGACAGGTGTGTCAGACCTACAGAGAGAGAGACAGACAGGTGTGTCAGACCTACAGAGAGAGACAGACAGGTGTGTCAGACCTACAGAGAGAGACAGACAGGTGTGTCAGACCTACAGAGAGAGACAGACAGGTGTGTCAGACCTACAGAGAGAGACAGACAGGTGTGTCAGACCTACAGAGAGAGACAGACAGGTGTGTCAGACCTACAGAGAGAGAGACTTCCTGTTTGCACCTGTGGAGACATTAACGCTCCAACAGGGACAGAGCCGACTCTGGACGCTGGAAACAGTGAGGACGCAGCACCTGTCTGAAACACACCTGTCCAACGTCTCACCTGTTTGTTCCGACCAGGAAGCGGGGACACCAGCTGGAAGATGGCTACTCGACCAGATGCTGTTCCCACGGCAACCAGGTCATCAAAACAGCTGAGCAGCTTTACAGCTGTGATCGCATCACTCTTCCCCTGTAACACACACACACACACACACACACACACACACACACACACACACACACACACACACACACACACACACACACACACACACACACACACACACACACACACACACACACACGAAGTCAGAATGAAGGAGGCCACCTGGTTTCTATTTAAACTGAAATATCTACCTGACAGCATTCAACATCACAGACATTATGAGGATCACTTGAACACACCACTGATCACATGAGTGCAGCACAATGCATTCTGGGATATTGAGGACTTTTTCATAAAGTTTGAACTAATTCAAAATGAACTGGACCAGCAGCGGCCGAGTCCTCGACCTGTCCCTCTGACTGGTTAGAAACTGAATCCTTCCTGGTTATTGATCTGCGATCAGGGCTGCAACTGGTCAAGCTGCTAGTGACGTTGAGAGCGCCCTCTGCTGGACCACGCGCCACATTACAACAAACAAGCGGGACCTCCTGTAGAACAGCACCACAGAAGAAGAAGAGCGCTGACCTCCAGGCTGTACTTGTTCATGTGTGCGAGGCGGCGACAGTACAGGTAGAGCATGCCGATGCTGCTGCCCACCGCCAGGAAGTCACTGCTGCTGTCCAGAGCCGTCAGGTAGACCAGGACAGACCTGAACCCACGCTGCACCTGCAGGACAGAGGGAGGAGCCTTCATCAATAACATCATCATCATCATCATCATAATATAGAAGGGAATTTTAAACTTAAACCCAGATGCTCTGGATCTGCCCCTTGGTCTGGTTTCAGAACCTTGGTCTAGGTTTTAGTCTGCTTTGGAATGGTTCAGCACCTTAGTCTGGTTTCAGCACCTTGGTCTGGGCTTTTAGTCTGGTTTGAATGGTTTAGCACCTTGGTCTGGTTTCAGCACCTTGGTCTGGGCTTTTAGTCTGGTTTGGAATGGTTTAGCACCTTAGTCTGGTTTCAGCACCTTGGTCTGGGCTTTTAGTCTGGTTTGGAATGGTTCAGCACCTTAGTCTGGTTTCAGAACCTTGGTCTGGGCTTTTAGTCTGGTTTGGAATGTTTCAGCACCTTAGTCTGGTTTCAGAACCTTGGTCTGGGCTTTTAGTCTGGTTTGGAATGGTTCAGCACCTTGGTCTGGTTTCAGCACCTTGGTCTGGGCTTTTAGTCTGGTTTGGAATGTTTCAGCACCTTGGTCTGGTTTCAGAACCTTGGTCTGGGCTTTTAGTCTGGTTTGGAATGGTTCAGCACCTTAGTCTGGTTTCAGAACCTTGGTCTGGGCTTTTAGCCTGATTTGAATGGTTCAGCACCTTAGTCTGGTTTCAGCGCCTTGGCTGGGTTTTAGTCTGGTTTGGAATGGTTCAGCACCTTAGTCTGGTTTCAGAACCTTGGTCTGGGCTTTTAGCCTGATTTGAATGGTTTAGCACCTTGGTCTGGTTTCAGAACCTTGGTCTAGGTTTTAGCCTGGCTTGGAACGGGTCAGTACCGTGGCTGGGTTTTAGCCTGGCTTGGAATGGGTCAGTACCTTGGCTGGGTTTTAGCCTGGCTTGGAATGGGTCAGTACCTTGGTCTAGGTTTTAGCCTGGCTTGGAACGGGTCAGTACCTTGGCTGGGTTTTAGCCTGGCTTGGAATGGGTCAGTACCTTGGTCTAGGTTTTAGCCTGGCTTGGAACGGGTCAGTACCTTGGCTGGGTTTTAGCCTGGCTTGGAACGGGTCAGTACCTTGGCTGGGTTTTAGTCTGGTTTGGAATGGTTTAGCACCTTGGTCTGGTTTCAGAACCTTGGTCTAGGTTTTAGCCTGGCTTGGAACGTGTCAGTACCTTGGTCTAGGTTTTAGCCTGGCTTGGAACGGGTCAGTACCTTGGCTGGGATGGCATTCAGCAGGTAGTAAAGCGGGCAGAACTCTCTCAGGATGGAGGGCGGGGTCAGCTGGGCCTCCATGTTTCCTGAAAATCAGTTCAAAACCTCCATTTAAAAACATACAACATTAACCCGAGAAGAAGCGCAACAAGAGAACTACACTTTTTGTTCTGCTGAAGGTAAATGTGCACCAAACTCATTTAAATAAGTAACATTTTACTGTTCTCTCTTTTATTATCTTCAGACATACAAGGCTGTTTAAACCAATCATAATGAGTCGCTGGGATTTACTTAAGGTACATAATTAAACATTTCACATCAATAAAATTTCAGGTTTATGATTTATTTGCTGTTTCTCCACCACTTGTCTCCGCTTAAATGTAAGATAATTTGGATGTTGTCTGGCTGGGACCTCTGTGTGGAGGTTGCATGTTCTCCCCGTGTCAGCTTGGGCTTCCTGCCACGGTCCAAACACTTTTAGGTTTAAAGGATGGCCCTTAGATGAGAATGTGAGCTCGATTGGCAAAGGATAAAGCGGTTATAGATGATGGATGGATGTCTGATTTTAACGCTGTTTGGTGGATCAGACATTAGCAAAATTAAAGAGAACACTCTATCAAATGGTTAGAGATCTTGAGTCATGTTTTGTAGCGGACACATTGTAGCTCAAATGAAGAGATAGGAAAAACTGACTTTTGTTAAAGGAAGTTTGGTCTGACGAACACCGAACGTTCTGCTCCCCGAACAGCTGGAGAGAACTCTGCACCAGACTCGGTTACAAAAATCAGCAGTTTACTGTCCCCTTGTTCTTTAACTGACAACATACAATACGTTAAAAACAAGACAGTAAAAGTCGTTTGGGTTTGTTTAAGGTAATACCATTAAGCATTCCACAACAATTAAATCTATGGTTTCATGATTTTTCTGCAGTTTCTCCTGCACCATTCTTTCCTTACTGGAGTCACGGAGGGCGGCAACGAACAGGGTGAAGAAACGTAAACAGCTTAAGTTTAACATCATTTAAACGCTGTTTTGAAGACTACACATAGCGGAATAAACAGTACTATTTACCGAAGCGTAAGAACTCTTACACCGTGCTTTGCAGTAAACCGATTTCAGCACAACGTAAGAAATACTAAATTCACCATTTGTTACACGGAGTTTGGTGAGACACTGTCTCCTCCACGGTCTACGAGAGATGACGGCACCGCCAGGTTAACGTTAGCGAGGCTGTCTGTGCTGAAGTCTGACAGCTGACAGCGAACATCCCAACAACAACAACATCATGTTTCCAACAACAACATCATGTTTCCACCAGCAAACAAACATATTTACCGAGTTAGCTTGTGAAACACCGAGTCCAGGCTAGCTAGCATCATATGGAACCCGCTAATGTTAGCAAGGCAGGCTAACGTTAGCAGCGGGAGGACGACTGTGAGCAACTTACTCAGTTTACAGGGAAGGTTCCGCCCAGATGTTGGTCCAGATGTTCAAATGCAGCAGGATATTAAGGATCTGAGCGGTGACATCGCCCTGACAGCTCCCATACGGATACTGAGCTGCTGTCAACAAACTGCGCCACCAGCTGGCAGGAACCGGAACAACACCTGTTTCATTTCTGTTTTATTTTAGTTTTCAGTTGTTTCATCATCTTCTAACCGACAGCCTTTATCACTGACTTTCTATAACTCATGACTTTAATCTGATAATTAATCATCTTTATCTGCAGCCAGAGGATCATTTTATATTTTTATAAATGACTGACAGGAAGCGGAAACTCAGTGACTGCTGGTCGGAAAACCGGGAAACTGGATCTTTCTTCCATTTAAAATCCTAAACGTGTTTTTCCTCTTTAAGTAATATTTAATATTTAATATTTAATATAACGTGGACATGGTGGTGAAACTGGAAATGAAGATAACATTTGTTTAATTTAATGGCAGGAGTGGAATTTCTACTTAAATGTGACAATACAACATAAACGACCTGCGAAATTTCCAAAACAAACGTTATCTTCTTTTATAAATGAATTAATGGTTGTGTGTTTAATTACAAACACAATTTTGATTTTATTTGTGAAATAACGTCTAAATACAGATGGTCACATGGTTACACAAAATTAAAAAACACATTTCTATTTGATTTTTTTAACTAAAAAAGTTAGTTTTATTTTCAGTATTCCCAAGTACCGTCGTTCATATTTATAAAATAATCAACATTAAATGTTGAGTCCGGTCCGGTGGTGGATCCGGTCCGGGGAGTCCGAGCTCCCGCTCCCGCTGACGGCTAAGCTAAGCTAGTACAAAACGCCCCCAGCCATCCCGTTTCTGCTCCCGTTATTCCCGCTCCCGTTAATGTTGTCCTTCATCCCGGCGCAGCGTTTTATTTTCCAGCACACACAGGATTTATAACGACCAATTTATTCGGTAATATCGATCGGCGATCAGGTTGAATTGATCCACCAACTGGCCCCCAGTCCGAGCTAAGCTAACAGTTAGCCTCACAGCCAAAATGGCGGACAACGAGGATGACAGCGGTTCGACCAGAACAATAACAGCCGCGGAGCCTCCGGGGGACCCGGTCCAGCCCCCCGCCGCCCAGTGCACCCCGTCCGGGGACATGTTACCGGCAGCGGCCGCTGAGCAGAGCAGTCAGCCCGGGGCGGGTTCACAGACAGGGTCCGGTGCCGACACCACGCAGCCCGGGGAGAGTGTACCGGCAGTGTCTGGAGCTCAGCTGGCGGACTTCTTACAGAGCTGCCCCCAGGAACAGAGCATCCTGGTGGGCTCAGAGTTCTCCGGACTGGGCCCGGACCTGGTCAACACCACCATCATCTACGTGCAGCCGGACGGGAGCCTGGTGGAGGGATCCGGACTGACGGCCGAGGAGCAGCAGGCTCTGCTGGATCAACTCACCAAGCAGCAGATCGTCCAGGTCTCCGACACCGAGGCCGCCCAGCTGCTCCAGCAAAGCCAGATGGTCAAAACCGTCCCGGTCCACAACACGGCCCTGGACCCGAGTCAGCTGCAGCAGGTCATCAACCAGGTTGCCAAGTCGCAGCAGCAGGTCCGCGTCCAGGTCCCCCAACAAGGTCTGAAGCAGCAGGTCCAAGTCCAGCAGGGTCTGAAGCAGCAGAAGCAGGTTCAGGTCCCTCAGCAGAACTTAAAGACCACCACCCAGAATAACGCGTCTCAGCAGCTGAAGAGCGTCGCCCAGCAGGTCGCCATGCAGACCTGCAGCCCAGTCCAGGTGGTCCAGAAGAAGGTGAGTCTGATGTGGAGCCCGGTTTAAGATCAGTTTGGTTCATCTGGACTGTAGCGTACTCACCTTGTCCAGACTGATCTAGACTGACCCCTCTGCCTGTTTCTGTTTGAGGCTCTGCAACTGAGCTCCACTCACCTGTCGGCTCACCTGCACTGTCATCAGAACAGGACAAGGTTCCCAACCAAGGGGACGGGACGGGACCCCGCATGGGGCCACAGGGTCAGTCTGAGAGGCCAGGGGATGATTGACAGGAGCAGAAAAAAAACATTTCTGTTTCACAAAAATCTGTTTGTTTATTCAGAATTTGGGTTTTTCATGTGAGCCGCTGGATATTGTGACCTCTCCTGGACCCTGAATCTCGTGTTCGGGTTTAATCTGAAGTAGTTTATTAGAACTTCATGTTTCTGGTATCACAGACTGGTCATGTTGCTTCACCTGTTTCTTGGCGATTCCTCGACTCGCATTACGTGCGTCGAAGCGTCGCTGCATCCGCTGTTAGCTGGGATTCCCCGGACAAGCTGCAACTACTGGACCGTCTAAAGTTTGGGAGTACTTCAGACTCAACGGCGTGCTGCTCCGTGAGCTTCACTGCAGCACAGCTGGTGTCCACGAACACGTGAAGCGAAGTATCCTGGAGCTCTGACGGCAGCTCCGCAATAGAGCTGCAACGATTAGTCGACGACGTCGACTATAAAAATTAGTTTACGTGAAACTTCATTGTCAGTGCGTCCTTACATAGATGCCGTTTAAGGGAGAGATAGCAATCTTCATATTAGGAACATTTGTGGTTGTTTATTTCTTACTGCGGTGCACTACAGGAAGTGCACTGCCGGCCGGCCAGTCCCGCCCACAGAGCGCCCTGGTCCCAGTTACTCAGACCACTGCAGCAGCAACAACAGGGGAAAGGCAGCGTTTCCTATAAGTTCATCTATTTGTGGCGGCCCTCCACAATATCAACGCTGACCGCCACATAATTTTATTTTAATTTTATTTTACTAGGCCTATTTAAAATCTTATTTGATTATAGATCAGCGACGTAGCGTCTCTCTCTCTACCTCATAAACATCGCAGCACAACACTGGACCCAGCCTTAAAAAAGTTATTAGTAAGGAGTAATGGTTTAAAGTAAATCAAGAAACATCTGGCTCGTGACGTCGCCTACAGAACATTGTCTGCTCATAAAACCTATAAGCACTTTTGATGCCTGTCGCTTTATTGTTCTAAATGGACATTGTTAGTGGCAGTTGTGGTTTTAGTACTTGCTTTTATTGTTTGTATAAATCAGTGAGTTATGGAGGAGCCTACGCTGTCTTGTCGTCTTCCCTGGCGCTGATACTGGTGGCCATTGTGAAGAGTTAACCTCGTTCACTTAATGGGAACGTTGGCTCGTTAGGCTGTGTTAGAGATCAGTGATTCACTTGAAAGATATTTAATTAATTAAATGGTTTAATGAGGGTTAGGGGGAGACAAAAATAATCGGGACTAGTCGACTAATTGAATAAATAATAATAAACAGATTAGTCGACTCTGAAAATAATCATTTGTTGAAGCCCTACACCACAAATCCTGGTTACTTCCACGAGCACGGTGCGTTTCTTCATCGCCTTCATGTTAACAGTAATTTCTGCCCCGCTGCTGTCATGGTAACGTTACCGCGTGTTACGGCCGTTTCATGTTCTCTGTATTTAACGGCCACGTCTGAGCGAGAAAACAGCTGATCGTTACAGACGATCTGTTCCAGGTGTTTCTTTGCTCCACGCTGATGCAGAACATCTGATTATCAGAGTGCATCACTCAGTACTGAAAATAACTCCAGGAACAGTTAAAGCAAAGCAGCCTGATTACTGTCGGTTATTGTCATCACAAACATCAGTGACGAGGAAACTGGATTCACTTTAAGATGCTGCTGTTGTCATTATTCTAATGAATTGAATAAAATATTGATTAATTGAGTTTATTTTGGTTTGTTAATCGGGTAATAAGCAACAGCCCTCCTCACAGGTCCGATCTCTGAGTTTTCATCTGCTGTCTGGTTTCTGTTTTTAGTCAGAAACCCATCAGGATCCAGATCCAGGTTCCCCCCAAGCCAGAAGTGAAGCCCAGCACCGCCCCCCAGCAGAAGAGCGTAGCTGTCAATCATCCGCAGGTGAAGCTGTCGGCCAATGGCAGCGTGAGCAGCGCTCAGATCATCCACATCCAGCCTGCGGTGGGTCAGCAGGGTCAGCAGTTCTTCCTGCAGCAGGGCCCGGGGGAGACCCCCATCCAGCTGCTGCTGCAGAGCCCCGTCCCCGTTGGATCTCTGCTCCGTTGGTCCACAAGCTCACGGGCCAGACGACATCAGCAGGCAACGGCGCCAGTCCGGCTCAGAAAACTGCCATGTCCCCCATCAGAGTCCAGGCCCCCCCATCGTCAAGACCCCGCCCACCTCTGTTGCTAAAACTGCTAGCGTCCCGCTAATAAAGGCCCCTACTAACGGCACGACAGCAGCCCCCAGTAAGAGCCCCGTTAAACCACCTGCAGTCCTCACGGCAGTCCCAGTACAGGCCGCCACACCTGCTGCTGCCCGGCCCGCCGCAGTAGCCCCGCCCTCTTTGAACCCGGCCCCAGCGGTGAAGGACAGAGACAAGGAAAAAGAGAAGAAGGTGAAGAAGAGGGAAAAGAAGGCGGTGAAGGTCCAGACCCGATCCGGTCGGGTCTCCAGGCCACCAAAGTACAAAGCCAAAGACTACAAGTTCATAAAGACGGAGGACCTGGCCGACAGCCACCAGTCCGACTCCGACGACTACTCAGACATGAGCGTGGAGGAGGAGGAGGGCGGGAGGAAGGACGGCCCCGCCCCCGGCACATCCCTCACCTACAGCCACAAGTCCCGGTCCACCGCTGCCAGACCTGCGACAAGGCCTACATCGGTCCCGGAGGCTTGAACCGGCACTACAAACTAAACCCGACCATGGCGAGCCTGATCCGCCCGGCAACACCTGGCAACACACCACGCCCCTCAGAGAAGACAGCCATTCACAGGAGACGACGGCAGGTGTCGCCAGAGAAGAAGAGAGGAGGAGGAGAGAAGAAGGAGGACAAACCGCTGCCCCAGCAACAAACAGGGTTAGAGACTGATCCACCAATCAGAGCTCAGACCTGGAGGGAGGATATCACACCTGCTGCCTGGTTGTTATTTACCTGTCTGACTTTTAC